TCAAGCTAGCCAGCTCGAGCGAGTCAAGCATGGCATGCCCAGTCCCACCCGCCCTCCCACAACATAAGAAGCAAAGCTGGCACAACTGGGGGCCGAAGTCACACCGGCCAGCCGGTTTGGTACAGCTGATGCGGCCGCGATGGCGGTTGCCGACGGGAACTGGCGAGCGCGTGTTGAATGCCGCGCACGCATTGCCAGACGAGTCGAGAATGGCCCGGTACACCGCAGGAAGCCAGAGGTGGCCGGAGGAAGCCCGACGGTCTGACAGGACACCCCAAAGCATTTTTGTGAAAAAGCATTGGGTTTTTGATGTTTTTATGTTGAAATGCTTGCAAACACACGGTGTTCGGTAGGATTCTGACATGAACGCGCGAGTGTGCTCTTTGTGGTATTTTTTGCACAGGATTCGCGGCCTGGGTGCATGACAGAGCATCGCGAGTGCACCGCGCGATGACGTGAAATCGCTGGATTCGACAGAATTCTTAAGATTCCTATGGTTTTCCTATGATTTCAGCAAGAGAGCCCGGGCGGAAATTTGTACAATTTTTGTGAAACAAGCATTGGGTTTTTGATGTTTTTATGTTGAAATGCTTGCAAACACACGGTGTTCGGTAGGATTCTGACATGAACGCGCGCGTGTGCTCTTTGTGGTGTTTTTTGCAATGGATTATCGCCGTGGGCGACAGGACGTCCATGTCGACAGGAAAAAATAAGAAACATGTTGATTTTGTATTGTTTTTTACAGGTTAGGATGGGACCCCCCGGATGCGGCCCCTAATGGCCGGCCTGAGGGGGGAGTAGGAGTATATTCTAATAAGGAATAAGGAGAGGAGGAGGAGGAGGAGGAGGAGGAGGAGGAGGAGAGGAGGAGAGAGGGAGGAGGAGGAGGAGGAGGAGGAGGAGGAGGAGGAGGAGGAGGAGGAGGAGGAGGAGGAGGAGGAGGAGGAGGAGGAGGAGGAGGAGGAGGAGGAGGAGGAGGAGGAGGAGGAGGAGGAGAGGAGGAGGAGGAGAGGAGGAGGAGGAGGAGGAGAAGGAGGAGGAGGAGGAGGAGGAGGAGGAGGAGGAGGAGGAGGAGGGGGAGGAGGGAGGAGGAGGAGGAGGAGGAGGAGGAGGAGGAGGAGGAGGAGGAGGAGGAGGAGGAGGAGGAGGAGGAGGAGGAGGAGGAGAGGAGGAGGAGGAGGAGGAGGAGGAGAGGAGGAGGAGGAGGAGGAGGAGGAGGAGGAGGAGGAGGAGAGGAGGAGGAGGAGGAGGAGGCGAGGAGGAGAAGAAGAAGAATAAGAAGAATCATAAGAAGAAGAAGAAGAAGAATAAGAAGAATAATAATAATAAGAAGAAGAAGAATAATAATAATAAGAAGAAGAAGAAGAATAAGAAGAAGAAAAAGAAGAATAATACGAAGAATAAGAAGAAGAAGAATAAGAAGAAGACTAAGAAGAAGAAGAAGAATAAAAAGAAGAATAAGCAGAAGGAGAAGAAGAAGAAGAAGAAGAAGAAGAGGAGGAGGAGGAGGAGGAGGAGGAGGAGGAGGAGAGGGAGGATCATGACGTCGGGGGCCCGGGTCTGCAGCGGCCTCTGGGTGGCCTCCTCCGAGGGTCGCCTCGGGGCCGCGCCGAGCATGGGGTGGCTCTGCGGCCGGGGCGTTTTCCTTGAGACCCTGGCGTCGCATTTTTTGGGCACCAGGCGTTTTTCCATAGTTTCGTGCCCCGTGCCCTCTAGCGTTCTGAGGCTGCGCCCCTCCTTTTCCTCCCCCTTCCCTGGCTAATTCAAGCTTCGCGCGGCCCGCTTAGCTTGACCAGAAGAGGTGCGCTCTCGACCCGCGAAGAAAAGTGCCCCGTGCCCTCACATATCGATCCGGCTTGAAACAATGCAGCAGGAAGATGGGGTCTGGGGCCCTGGTCGTGTTTTTGCTCACGATGTTGTACTTGTTCGCGCCATCGGGTTTCTTCCGTTTTTCAATGGTGTAGTTCTTGGGGGGCCCCATCGTTGTCGTCGGCCCGGTGCCCGTGCCCTTGGCGGGCGCCGCGAATGCCCGAGGCCCAGCACTCGGGGAAGGCTTCGAACTGACCTCTTCTTCGCCTTCCCACCTTGCAGCACGCTCCCCTGGGCCCTCGCTTCGCCAGGGGGCGAGCGGCCTTGACTTGCTCCGTTGGGGCAGCCTCCCCTGGAAGGCCCCAGAGCGGGGGGGCACCGCGCCATGGGAAAAGCACACTGCGTGCCTTTGCTATTCTCGGCGTACCTCGGCGGGCCCTCGGCGGGCCTTTGGCCGCCGGGGACTTCGGCCAGCCCTGGGCTTCCCTGGCCTCCCCCTGACTCCCCATCGGCATAGCCTCGGCCTCCTGCTCCTCCTCCTCCTGCTCCTCCTCCTCCTTCCTCCTTCCTCCTCCTCCTCCTGCTCCTGCTCCTGCTGCTGCTCCTCCTGCTCCTCCTCCTCCTGCTCCTGCTCCTCCTCCTTCCCCCTGGCCTGGACTCCCTAGGCTCTGCGCCGCAGCCCGCAGCCCCCCCCCCCCCCCTCTGGCCGCCCGACCCGTTCTGCTCGTCGCTCGTCGTCGTTCGCCCTCCTTCAGGAGGGGAACAAACCACACGTCTGTGGGGAAAACGCACAAAAATCACACACTGTGGGACAACAAAAACACACACTGTGGGAAAAAAACGGCATTGTGGGACACAGACACACAGTCTGTGGGGAAAAAAAACACACTGTGGGAAAACACACATAGTGTGTTTTGTGTGTGTGTGTGTGTGTGTGTGTGTGTGTGTGTGTGTGTGTGTGTGTGTGTGTGTTTTCTTACAGTGTGTTTTTCCCCACACAATGAATCGTCGATCCCTAGGCAAATCTGGGAAACTATGGGAAGTGGGGGGGGAAGACGAGAACCCCAGAAGATATGGGCAAACATTGGGAATCCTGTCATTTGTGTATGTGTGTGTACCTATTTCTGTGTCCCGGGGCCCCTTCACTCCTCCCCTGGCCTCCCCCCAACTTCTTCCCCCCCCCCTGGCCTCCCCTTGGCCCTGGCTTCCCTGGGCCCTGCGCTGCCCCCTCTGGCATCCCCTCAGCCTTCAGTCGGGCCCGTCCCTCTACAGGAGGAATCTTCAAAAATAGTCAAAAAATAGTCTGGGGACGATTTTTGGACTATTTTTGAGTATTCGGGGGTATGTTTTTTTTTTTTGTTTTGTTTTTTGTTGTTGTTTTGTTTTTTTCCCAAATTTTTCGCTCAAAATTCCCCTGTGGGGGGACACGCCCAACTTAACCTGGCAGCCCCCCTGGGCCCCCTCCCGCTAGCCTCCCAGGGCAGTCCCCCTGAGCCGCAGAATCCTCGTACTATTTTGCACAGCTGTGCTCTCGAGCCCGGAGCCGTTTATTTCCGTCGTCGTTTGCTTGTTCGCTCGTCGCCCTCCTTGGCCCCCCCCGCCACTGCCTCCTCATGATGGTCATGACGGCCTGAGGAGAACACCAGGATGGCCACAAGAGCCCCCCCTCACCCCGCCTCGCTTGGCCCTCGCCCTCCCCCGTGCAAGAGCCAGAGTATGCGTGCCACTTGCTGGGGCCGTCGTGAGGCCATCCTGTCTATCCGGGGTGTATCTTGGGGCCGTCGTGGACTCGTACTGGAGCCGCCGAGGGGTCGTCTCTAAGGCTGTAGTAGGTTTTCCAGAGACCCTCTTGGGCCAGCTCGGGGCTCTGTTTGAGCTAGCGTTGGGTGCTTCGTGAAGTCTTTGGATCATTGGGCCATCGTGGGGGTGGGGGGGGCATTGGGTCGTCTTGAGCTGACAGGAGCCCGAACAGGTGAGAATGCGAAAATCTATCACAAACCCTGGTGGGAGCACTGTTTTTTTTCTTCTTCTTCGGACCTTGTCGGGGGTTCTCTTGTTACCCTTTTTGATTCTCTTGGAGGCATGTCGGGCCGTCTTGAAGCCATAATGGGCCGCCTGGGAGACATCTTGGTTGCCTTGGTTGCCTGCCTGGGCCGTCTTTGAAGTCCGGGGCGAGGACACATCGTTGTTTACAAACGATCGTGGCCTCGGGAGCGTGGAGCCATGGTCATTTTACGGGGCATCGTGGCCTCGGGAGTAGTGGCGATGCACAGGAGGGATGTTTCTGGAGGGGGGCGTGTTCCTTAAAAGAGTGCAGGCCCTACCAGACAGCATACGGTCACTCTTCAATGTACCAGGGGTTACGGTGGCGGATATACATGTACAAGCTCACAACGATACATGATATATGCTGTATCTACAGAGTTTATGTATAAAGAGATGGGTATATCGATACATAGACAGAGACATCATGCCGACATATAACAGCACATAGAGAGGGCACACCAGACAGCGCAGAACAGAGTTGAGGCGCGAGCGAAAGCTGTTACATGTATTTGCGTATAACCGTATATATATATATACATACACAGGTGCACACACATGTGCACACATACATACGTATATACATATACATATGGGCATATGCATACACACGTATAGCACACAACGACGCGTACATGTACACAGGCACGCACGTCGACAATTATGGTTATGTGCATGTGTGAGAGTGTGTAAAATGGTAAAGTATACCTGAGCGCAGGGCAAGCTGAGAGTCCTTATGAAGTAGCACAAGGGAGACAGAGTGAGAGAGAGAGAGAGACAGAGACAACGACAGAGACAGAGACAGAGAGAGAGGGAACCACAGAGAGAGAGAGGGCAGACGTTCAGCTTCCACAACAACTTCAGTGCATCCACTGATTGGGGTCGCTCTGTGGTGTAGATTTCGAGCACTCTGGAAGGTCAGGCGCATCTGCTTTCCTTGGTGTGAGCACGAGTGCCTCGTAATTCCCCAGCCACTGCCAATACACCTGGACGCACACGGCTTGCCCTTTCTTTCTTTATTTCTTTTTTTTTGGTCTCTCTCTCTCTCTCTTTTCCTCCCTACCCTCACGGGGATTTCGTCCCTTTGGGAAGGGTCTCCCCCCGAGCACCCCTGTTCCTTGTGACGCTGCGCCGAGCCACTCGCCGAGGTGTGCGACGACCTCTTCGCAAAGTTCGGCCCCGACGGCGGCCAGAGCCCTGGGAGTCAGGAGGCGAGCGACTCGAGCAGCAGGGGGGGCCTTGGCAGGGAAGGGTCATGTCGTGCACTGAGAGGACGCCCACCCAGGCACGTCGATCGAGGCACTTGGCATGGTTCACTCGACGTTGGCATTCGAGTGTGCTGGTGCTGTCCTCAGTCGGCTTCGCCAATCGACGTGCGTTTCGCCTGACACACTTGTTTTTGGCGTCAATCAGCTACTCCGCAGGGGTCCACGTGGTATGGGGTGACGTACGCGCGTGGAACACCCCTGGCAGCTTTCACAAAAGGGCGCTTTGCCAAAAGGTGTTCTTGCCCCACGCGCAGAGGAGGGTGGGGGAAGGAGGGTGGGCTTCTGAGAAGCACCCCTCGTTCTCAGACGGCGCGGGCCCAATCTATAGACGTATGGCTGGCGCCTTCTAAGAAGCAGCCTCTTCTGAGAAGCCTCCCCTCCTCCCTCCACCCCCTCGTGCGTGCCGCCAAGAATGGGTCGAAACCTCTGCAGCCGACGCTGTGAGAATCATCCCGACGTCGGGGGCCCAGGTTGGCAGCGGCCTCCTGGGCGGCCTCCTCGGAACGCCGCCCTTAGGTCGCGCCGAGCTGCGGTGGTTCTGCGACCCCAGTCGTGCGCGCCGCCAAGTTCGTCAAGGAAGGTAACACCACCCGTACCCGATCATCGGCGTTTGCCAAGCGGTCCTGGGCGTTTACTAAACAGCCCTGCCCCGTTCGATTCCCTCCTTGGGGGCGCTTACTGGGCGGCGTCGCGTGTCGGGGTGATTCTCATGAGGGTGGATGTTCTGCTCTCAGTCAGTCCTGGGGGATGAGGAGGAGGAGGAGAAGGAGGAGAAGGGGGAGGAGGGGGAGGGGGCGGAGGAGGAGGAGGAGGAGGAGGAGGAGGAGGAGGAGGTGGAGGAGGAGGAGGCGGAGGAGGGGAGGAGGAGGAGGAAGGAGGAGGGGGAGGGGGAGGAAGAGGAGGAAGAGGAGGAAGGAGGAGGGGGATGAAGAGGAGGGAGGAGGAGGAGGAGGAGGAGGAGGAGGAAGAGGAGGGAGGAGGAAGGGAGGGAGAGGAGGAGGAGGAGGAGGAGGAGGAGGAGGAGGAGGAAGAGGAGGGAGGAGGAAGAGGAGGGAGGAGGGGGAGGGGGAGGGGGAGGAGGAGGAGGAGGAGGAGGAGGAGGAGGAGGAGGAGGAGGAGGAGGAGGTTCTGCCAATCTTTGACCATGCTCGTGCACCGGCCCTGGCCGGGCCCATGCTGGGCCCAGGGCCCCCTCGTATGTGCCTCCCTGGGCAGGCCAGCAGGACGTAGTGCACGGGTCCTGGGCCTCGGATGGGCCCGGCTGGGGTCGGCGCGTCGGAAGTCTCGGGGGCGGCAAAGAGGGGGGTGATGACTAGGGGGGGGTGGATATCATGGCGGGGGCCATGATATGCCCCCAGATTTTATGGCGCCTCTTCTTGTTTCATTACGTCCCTGGCCCCCCCGCTGGGCCGCGCACATGCCGCCGGTCATGATTTGCACCCCCCCTCTTGGACACCCCCCTGTTGGCCGCTCCCGATGCGGGGGTGAGGCCGAAGTGACACGGAGTTAAGCAGTGGCGAAGCGTCCCAGCTCGCCTGTAGCCCCACCAAACAGTGTTCTAAGAACCTTTTTGTGGCTCCCACGACATGTTCGTAGAACATTTCTGGCTGGGACTGCCTTGTTTTAACACATCGGGTTTATGTTCGAAGAACATCGTTTTTGTTCTTAGAACAGTTTTGTGTTCTAAGAAAATTTCGTGGTATGTCTATAGGAATGCCGGGACGGTCGGTCCCTGCTCAACGGAGTCCCCCGCCGACCACGAAACACAACACACCCCCTAGCACCGATCACACGGTGAATTCGTGGCCCAGCCGAGGCCCACGGGTTTGGGGGATCTCCCTCAACATACGGGGTGGCTTCGCTTGGTGCATCCGCAAAGTGACCCCCTCTTTCCCTGATGCCCGTGGCCCTCCTGAGTTAGGTTTCCTCCCAAAGGGTTAGGGGTTAGTCTATGGCTTCTCCAACGAGGGATCGACTTCGGTTTCGGTCCGTGTCGTGCGTGACGCGCGTGCGGGCGAGGCAGCGCTGCGAGAGCTCCTGCCCTGGCCAGGCCCAGGGGAGGACACTCTGTGACCCCCCCCCCGGCGTCCGGGGCGTGTGCGGGGGTCGTCCCGCGGTGGCCCCGCTGCTGTCCCGCAGCTATGTCTGCGGTTGTCCTGAAGGTCCCGCGGCGGGGCCATGGTCGTCTTCCCGTTTTTCCTTGGTTCTCCCGTGGTCGTGCCGTGGCTGGCCCGTGGCTGTCCGCGGTTGTCTCGTGGTTGCTCCGTGGTTGTCCCGTGGTTGTCTGGTGGTTGTTCCGTGGCTGTGCCGTGGTTATTCCGTGGCTGTCCCGTGGTTCTTTGTCCACAGATTGTTGGGTCGAACGTGAGACCGATAGACAGCTGTACATATTCCTATTCATCTATCTTATAGGGCCGGGGACCCTGGAAAAGCGCCTCACGAGAGCCCGAAGATGGCCTCAGAGGGCCCCTGACGTTCCGGCGCGCTCCCAACACGACCCCCGAGAGCCCCCAGACTGTCGACGACGACCCCAACGGAGCCGTCATACCCCCAAAGATCGCTCCAAAACGTCCCAAGCCTCCAAGAGCACTCCCAAGAGGGGCCCATGAGGCAAAATTCATTGATTTTCCGTTGGTTTGTGGGGGATTTTTGAGTTCTCCCCTTTTCGGCTTCCCGACGCTCCCAGACGGCCCACGAGGCCCCCAAGATCGCCTTAAGAGGGCCTCAAACCGGCCCAAGAGGGCCCCAAACAGGCTCACGAGGGCCCCCAGACAGTCCCGACAGGGCCCCAGGAGGCCCCAGGAGGTTCCCAAGAGGCCCCGAAGGAGCCCCAAGCGGCCCCCAAGAGGCCCCCAAGAGGCCCCCAGGAAGCCCCAAGAGGCTCCAAAGAGCCCCAAAAGATCCCGCAGGAACCCCACAGAAGTTCGAAGACGCCCGAACAGGACCCCAAGGCAGCCCAACAGAGCCAAGACGTGCCCCAGACGGGCCCAAGCCACAACGGGACTGCAAAACACGCCCCACAGAGGCCCTCAGAAGACTCCGGGAGGCTCCAGCAAGGTCCACGTGACATTAGCATTGGACGCGAGGCCTTCCAAGAGCGAACGGCGGCGCAAAACAATTTCAGCGTTGAGATAATCGAGCCCCGCTGCGACACGGCCCCGAGGACCCCCAAGGCCCTCACGCGGCTCCATCCGTAGTCCCAAAGACGGTCTTTGGTAGCCCAGGTCGCCGTTTCACATTCTGCCGTGTCCTCCATGCCGTCTCCTACCCAAGTCTTTTGGCATTCGCAAGCCCTTCACTGCGTTTCTGCCCCCCCATGCCCCCCTCTGTGGCCACGACTCGTACATGTATAAGGACATGCAATTGTGTACGCGTAGATCTGCCCAAGTGGACATGGTACATATGTATGCACAAACATGGCTATACATACACAAGACTGCAGTGGCGCTTCGCGCCATGCACCTCGGTCCTTCGAGTTTCGCACGCGGGCGGCGTGCGTGCGCGTGCACATGCGCGCGCGAATGTGTGCATACATGTCATACGCGCGCACGTGCAGGTCAGACACGTCATACAGCCGTCACGAAATACTTCCGTCTTGATCTTCGACAGCGTTAGTCGCAGGCGAGATCTCTTCCCCTATCTTCGAGCCCCCCTCCTAAAAGCTGGCCGCTCACGAAAGAAGGCAACTTCGGGGATACCCCCTCGGGCGGCTATCTGGGCGCACCCCCCTCTCGAGGATGGACGCCCCACCAGCGCAGATCCTTGCGTTCGGTCACAACTTGCTCCTTCGGTCGAAAGCCCTGCGAAGTCCTGGACTGGGGTCGCGGTTCCGAGGCGGGAATTTACACATGACCACCGCTTGGAGGTTTAGTTTTCGGAGCCCGGGCAGGCAGTGGATCTGGATATATTCGGGCCCCCGGGGCCGAAGTATATCCATATCCACCGCCCGCTGGGGCACCAGGACGTCGGTTCCCAGGCGGTGGATATGGATAACTCCCCGCCTCGCAGCCATACCCCTCGTTGGCCAGACGTCCGAGAGCCCCCGTGCCCGCCCCGGGCGGAAGCACGGGCAGCGCCGCACCCCTCCAGGCGAGGCCCCCGGGCCTCAGCGCCGGCTGTGGCGTGGACCTCCTCGGCGTCCGCCTCTTCGACTCCAGGCGCCCCCCCTGGCTGCGGAAAGTGGCGCGGGTGCCGGAGCGATCGAAATGGGTACGGAAAGGAGAAGTCGGAGATGGACAAAACCCGCACCCTGACACGTCGATTACTGAATTGTCCGTTTTCGGTTCTCGAGACGGCGCCACGGCCGTCATTTTCCAGGTTTGCGCACGCCAAGTTAGGGCCCAAGGTCGTTCTCACTAAACCACGTTTTACTAAAGGGGGTTCTGTCCATCACCGAATAAGTAGGAAGACCGGCAGCATCTCCTACTCCGAGGCGGGAATTTATACACGACCACCGCCTGGAGGTTCAGTTTTCGGAGCCTCGGCAGACGGTGGATATGGACATATCCGGGCCCCCTGGGGTCGAAGTATATCCATATCCACCGCCCGCTGGGGCACCAGGACGTCGGTTCCCAGGCGGTGGATATGGATAAATCCCCGCCTCGCACCTACTCATTTTGAACTGGACTCGGTGTCGTCGTCGCCGCGGACGTTGTCCATTTGAGGCAGCAGGCCGCCTGCCGACCAGCGGCCGCCGCCCGTTTTGGACAACGCCTGATGTTTGGCAGTGTGCTCAGTTTTCTGTACCCCTTCCAGGCGTCCTAAGTCAGCGAGCGAAGAACGGTATAAAATAAACTTTCCGCCGTCGGGGACACCTGCCCCTGAGCGGCTGGAAAGTTTATACCCCTACGGTGCCACCGTAAGGGTATAATCTTTCCAGCCGCCTTAGGGCAGGTATCCCCGACGGCGAAAAAGTTTATTTTATACCGTTCTTCGCCCGTTTACTAAGGGCAGCGAGGATCGAGGCTTGTAGCCAGCGGCCACGACCGGTGTGGTCACGCCAGGGCGTGGCTTGCGGTCTGCGTCGCTGGGGCTCGGGGGTCACCACGTTGCGCCAAAGGTTTGGTGAGCCCTCGTCGGGGCGCGGTGGAGAAGCCGAGCTCCTCGCCCGCCCCCGAGGGCACGGGTTGCTCACCGCAACCTTTGCAAACCACACCCGTCGGAGTCGTCGATGCAGGGCACTCGTGGCCTTCCTCGAGCCTCCAGAGGCCCTCTGGGGACCTCGCGGGGAGCTCTTGGGACCTCCAGAGGCGTTTGGAGCAGCACCATCGTGAATTCTGTCTTGGACGTCGTCTGAGGCCGTCGAAGGGTCGAAGCCTTCAAGGTCGCCCTGCCCCAGCGGCGAGAGGCTTGCCAGGTTGCGTCGCCGTCATCGCCGTCGTGGAAGTGGGTCCCTGGACCCATGTCAAGGTTCATCCGGGCAAGTTTTCTGGTTTCTGAGCCGCGTCCACGTCCAGCCATTGCGACAACGACCCCCAGAAGCGCTCGAGAACTTGATAAGCGAAGCCGTCCAATTCGAGTTTGTCGGGAGGGTGGGGGCGCAATGCATCCGGAGCAGGTGGGGTCGGAGGATCGCGATGCGTCGCCGATGCATCGGCGATGCCGCGACAAATTTGAATCCCGACCTTGTTTCTGCTTCTGTTCCTCCATCCCCATGCTGCCGGTGCACTGCCGCCGCATCGGCGATACGGCGCGGTGCTTCGATCCGACCTGCTTTGGCCCCGCCTGGGAGGGCTCCAGAGGCCCCTTCCACGGAGGTCTGGGCCCAGCTTCCGGGTCCGGTTTACTCATCCCGAGTAGTTTTTGACGGCCCGCGGGATCTCAGTGCGGAAGGTGATGAGTGCCATCATATTGTTGCAGGCATGATTGAGTGGTGCATGGCAACGGCTCGTGGGCCAGACACCAAGCGGAAGATGCACGGGTGGAAGCAGGTAGCATGACGCGCAATTGGCCCAGCGCGCATCTGGGGTCGGTGGACTTCTTGCACTTGCTGCTCTGTCAGTATGCGGCGAAGGATGACGCAGTGCACTGTCGCATTGGGCGCTTTCATTTCTGGCTATTCACGGGTACCCGGCTGGCATTCTGGCCTCAATGAAATGTCAGGTTGGCTACCAGAAACAAGTTTGGTGCGATCAGACAGTTGGAGATGCACGGGTGGCGTAGAAAAGAGATCTGCCAGCGTGTGTAAGAGGTGCTTTGGTGACAGCCAGACGCGTTCGAGCATGTAGCTACCAGGAGGAGGAAGAGGATGGGGCAGAGTAGGAGAAGGAGTATGAGGACGAGGGCGAGGATGAGGAGGAGAAGTTTGATAATAAGTAGAGGTGTACCTTCCTCCTTCAGCCCGCCGATTGACTGCTCCCCGCATTCGCTCCGGACCAGCAGCGCGGCGCCGGTCCGGCCTTTGTGGATAGAACTACCAACAGCGCGATGGGAAAGGATGGGCGCGAGGGGCATCTGATGTCAGATGTGGCGCGCCCGCGCAGCTTGTCCCTCCCTCTCTCCGCTCTCGCCCCCTGGTCTTCCGCCTGAACTTTCCCATCTCACTCTTACCTGTGCTACCCTTGACCTCAAGCCCCACTGGGCTCGACTCGCCCGGATTCTGCCCCAGTCTTTTGCTGTCTGAGCCGAACTCGTACCATGCCACGCGAACCTGGATCCCCCTTTGCAGCCCCTGTCGAATGATTGTGTGCGGTGCGCACGCGCGGATCTCGCAAATGATCTTACCTGTCCCTCCCCCCCAGGCATCTCCTGAAGAGCGCTCCGGCCAGAATCTCGAGGCGGATCCAGCCGTGGCGACGAGCCTCCTCGAGGCTCCGAGAGGCGGAACAAAGCGTTGTGGGGCGGGGCGGAGGAAAACTATCCTCCATGGAGGGAGGGTTCTGCCCAGATCTATGATGAAGTCGGACATATCCCTCTACAGGAGGAGTGTTCGCGAATAGTGTGAAAATAGCCAGCGGACGATTTGTCGTCTCTTTTGACTATGTTTGTTCTTTGGGGCTATTGTTTTTTCCCAAAATCCGCCTGTAGAAGGACATGCCCGTGCCCGACTTAAATCTACGACTCACGACGTCGTGCTTTTCCTCAACGCGGACCCGCAGAGCTCTGTACCCCTTCCCCGGGGCAGGCCTTGCATCCCAAGCCGTGCCTGGTGAAGCTCCCTGGGGCCCTGCAGCGGCCCCGGGGTGGACCGGGGACGAAGAGCAGGATTCGAGCTGCTTGCGCCATTCTGCCGACTCCCAGAAGAGGGATGAGGTCCACAGGTGAGGCCTTTTGGGGCCTCTTAGGGGCCCTCTGGGGGCCGCTCCTCCTCTTCCTCCCTTCGTTGGGCGCCCTGGGGGCCTCTGTGGGATTCTTGCGAGTTGTTCGGCGCCTGCTCGCGGTCTCGGGGCTCCTCCGGTGGCGGAGGGCTCGGAGCGTCACGCTGAGTTGCCTCTCTTGGGCTCCCTTGGGGCCCCGTTGGGGCTCTGTCGGGCCATCTTGAGCGCCTCTTGGGCGGTCTCGGAGCCCTCTTCGGCCGTCTTGGGGCCCTCTTTGGGGCTTCTTGGCTCGTCCTGGAGCGATCTAGGGGGCATCTTGAGCCGTCTTGGACTCTTCTAAGGGAACAAATGCGAAGGTGCTGAAAACATCCGTTTTACCAAGGGATCTGGACGCGTCTTGCTTCTTGGAACCCTATCGAGGGTCGTCTTGTAGCCCTCTTGTGGCGTCTTTGAGGCCTCTTGGGGAGTCTTGAGGCCATCTTGGTAGTGCTTGAGGGCTCCCCAGCGTGTTGGAGCCCAGCTTGAGCGAGCTTCAATGACATATTGGGCATCCTGGACTATACCTGGACTCCTCGCTCATGCTTTGCCTCCCTGGAGGAGTGGGAGGGGCACGTAGCCTGATACATAACATGGCTTGCGAATGCCCTTCTCGCTCAGGCGGGGCCTCCCTGGAGGAGTGGGAGGGGCACGAAACCCGATACATAACTGGTTTGCGAGTACCCTCCTCGCTCAGGCGGGGCCTCCCTGGAGGAGTGGGAGGGGCACGACACCTGATTAATAGCATGGTTTGCGAGTACCCTCCTCGCTCAGACGGGCCTCCCTGGAGGAGTGAGAGGGGCACGACACCTGATACATACCATGGTTAACGACTGCCCTCCTCGCTCAGGCGGGGCCTTCCTGGAGGAGTGCGAGGGGCACGGCACCTGATAAATAACATGGTTTGCGAATCTCCTCCGAGGTGGGACCTCCCTGGAGGAGTGGGAGGGGCACGACACCTGATAAATGATATCGTTTGCGAATACCCTCCTCGCTCATGCGGGGCCTCCCTGGAGGAGTGGGAGGGGCACGGCACCTGATACATAACATGGTTAACGACTGCCCTCCTCGCTCAGGCGGGGCCTCCCTGGAGGAGTGGGAGTGGGAGTGGTCTCTCTGGCGTGGCTTCCCTGGAGTGGTATGTATGGTATGGTAGCTTTGGTATGGTAGGTGTGGTATGGCATGGTAGTTGTGGTATGGTATGGTATGGTATGGTATGGTAGGGTATGACATGCTATGGTATGGTAGGGCATGGTATGGTACGTCTGGTATGGTATGGTATGGTAGGGTTGGTATGGTAGACGTGGTAGGTCTGGCATGGTAGGTGTGGTATGGTTGGTGTGGTATGGTAGGTCTGGTTTTGGTCTGGGATGGTATGGTAGGTGCGGTATAATAATGTAGATATGGTAGGTATGGTAGAGAGGAGGAAGAGGAGGAGAAGGAAGAGGAGAAGGAAGAGAAGAAGGAGAGGGTGTTCTAGGAAAACAACAATCCCAACTAGAATGTGGGGAACACGTGTTTCGCCTGATGCATCCTCATCGGAATTCACAGACAGAACGGATTCGATCCACAGGGAAAGTGTAATCTGTAAGAATATGCTTCCTCGGCCCTTTCGGGGCCTCCCGCAGCCTCCTGTGGTCTCCTAGGACCTCCTGGCGCCTCCTAACTCCTCCTGGGGCCCCCTGAAGCTTCCGGGGGCCTCTTGGGGGTCCAAGATGGTCCTAAGAGTGCCCCATGGCGGCCCAAGATGGCCCGAAGACAAGCTCTGAAGCATTCCAAATCGTGACCCAGTCATTCAGGGAGACCGCGGTTGGAGGCAGGGTGGCCCGAGGAAGCCCCCAGAGGACCCCAGAACACGCCTAGGAGGCCTCCAAAAGGCCTTGAGAAAGCATGAGAAATTTTGTGAGGCCCCCAGAGGCTCTCCAAGGAGGAGCCTCCGCAAAAAATAACTGAGGAGGATGGGGAGAATGCGCAGGGTATGGCGAGAATGAAGAAACAGAAGCATTGAGGAAGGATCACGAATCATATTATGATAACGACGATGCCGGAAAAGGCAACAAGGAGTTATCGCTAAATTGCCGGCTTGACCTTCCTGCCATCCCGCCTGCATGCCGAGCTCTATGGGCCAAGGTGCATGGCGCGAAGCGCCAATGCAGTCTTGTGTGTATATATATACACCCTGGGGTACACACAAAAGCACGTGCTTCCAGCTCGGGACAACCATGTTAGATACCCAACTGTGGCTTTCAAATCGTGACATCACGTGGCCCCTGCTTGGGACAGCGATTTGAGATGCCCACCAGGACGGCCTGGACACGTAATGGCATGTGGTTCCAGCTCGGGGCAGCTATATTAGATACCCCCCCTGGGTGGCCTGGGCATGTAAAAACACATGGCATATACACGGGCGCCAGACGCATGTTGGACATTCCTCCGCGCACGTTTTCTACGTATGAAGAAACCGACAAAATCATGTTGGGTATCCCCCTGGGCGCACTTTTTTCTAGCCGGCACGCACGGGGTGCATCTCTTCGGCCAAAAAGTGTCTCGCACCCTGTGATTTATCGATCGGGATTTCAAAAACACACTTTTGGCCCGATACATCCTCAAGCAATACTTCGCCAGCCCTACGCGACCTCGATGATTATTAGAAGATTGATTCGTTGGCCCTACGCAAGTCGAGGGTCGAACCCCAGACCCCCTTACCAACTAAAAGAGAATCCTGGGCCGACGCCCTTCCTGGGGAAAACAAATCTTCAGGCGAAGGAGGGAAGACGGAGGAGCAGAAGCGAGCTGCGAGTTTTTCCCAGAAAGGGTTCCAGTCCAGTCTCTGGTGTCATGTTCGCGTAGGTTCGGCGAATGCGTGCTTCGATGAGTAACGGGGTCGAGTGGGGCCAGCGAGTTCATTTGTTGAGGGCGTCTCTAGCGAAACGTGTGTTTTAGCAGCATTTGTTGATGTCTCAGGGGGACGCTTGTTTTTGTTTGCTGGGAACTTCTCGTGATTATTTGCTGTGACCACCAACTGCCATGACATATTTGAACGGATTTCTGACTCTTCCATGAAGTAGACCTGGTCGGGCCCATTACCGTAGGAGCTGATTTGCGAGGGTTGCGCATGCGACTTGCACATGCAGGTTGCGCATGCCTGCTCATACTGTGTCTGTGGTACGTAGTGGCGTTCATCCAGATTGGGTCGTGGACAAGAGGCTCTCGGAGGCTTCTTTGGGTCTCTTGTGAGGCCTCTCGGGGGCCGCTTGGTGGCATTGGCTCTCATTTCGTGGAGCGTCTTCAGAAAAGAAGACTTCTCTGCTCCAGAGCACCGAACCGACTTCCAGACGATGATCGCGGCTGTCCTGGTCGAAGCCAACAGCATTTGGGCTCGAGGGAAACCGACTGGCAGTATTGTACGCTGCAGTGCATCCGCCTCGCTTAGCCCCGGTTTAGCAGTATCCATTGAATCATGGCTCTCGGCAAGCTGGCGTTGAGCGCGCTGGTGGTCTGCTCCGCCGCAGCCCTCGCAGAGGAGGGGACCTGCGCTGCCGAGGACGGCTGCGACGAGGTGGGCCTGGCGCAGCTGCGCCGCGCGGAGGCGAGGGTCGCTCTGGCGGTGAACGCATCCAGCGAGTGCTCCATCGGCTGCGATCCCCACTCCAACCCGATTGGCCGCTGTCCTGACTTGTCCGACTGCCCCGCCAGCGGTTGCTGCGACAAGGCGGGTCCGACGCCTTCGCCGACTCCGTCGCCGTCGCCACCTTCGGGCCCCTGCAAGGTGGGCTGCGATCCCCACTCCAACCCGATTGGCCGCTGTCCTGATTTGTCCGACTGCCCCGCCAGTGGTTGCTGCGACAAGGCGGCCTTGGCGCATGTGCACGTGCAAGCGAACGCATCCAGCAAGTGCTCCATCGGCTGCGATCCCCACTCCAACCCGATTGGCCGCTGCCCTGACTTGTCCGACTGCCCCGCCAGTGGTTGCTGCGACAAGGCGGGTCCGACGCCTGCGCCGACTCCGTCGCCGTCGCCACCTTCGGGCCCCTGCAAGGTGGGCTGCGATCCCCACTCCAACCCGATTGGCCGCTGCCCTGACTTGTCCGACTGCCCCGCCAGTGGTTGCTGCTGCAAGGCGGCCTTGGCACAGGTGACGTGCAAGCGAACGCATCCAGCAAGTGCTCCATCGGCTGCGATCCCCACTCCAACCCGATTGGCCGCTGCCCTGACTTGTCCGACTGCCCGCCAGCGGTTGCTGCGACAAGGCGGGTCCGACGCCTGCGCCGACTCCGTCGCCGTCGCCGCCTTCGGGCCCCTGCAAGGTGGGCTGCGATCCCCACTCCAACCCGATTGGCCGCTGCCCTGATTTGTCCGACTGCCCCGCCAGTGGTTGCTGCGACAAGGCGGCCCTGGCGCAGGTGCGCGTGCAAGCGAACGCATCCAGCAAGTGCTCCATCGGCTGCGATCCCCACTCCAACCCGGTTGGCCGCTGCCCTGATTTGTCCGACTGCCCCGCCAGTGGTTGCTGCGACAAGGCGGGTCCGACGCCTGCGCCGACTCCCGGGAGTGGGTGCGCCTCGAACTATTGTTGCTGGTGGCCTCAACCAGGACAGTGCGGCAGTTGCGGCACCCATTGGAGCAATCGCGTGTACCTCCCGGGCTCGAATTGCCCGGGCTTCAACGAGCGGTCAGACGCGTATTCGGGTTGCAACAGTCCTGGGACTTGGTGCCGCTAGCTTGGCGCGAGAGACCAATCGATTATTCAAGAAGCTGAAGCCATTCCGCCGACGCCCTGGGAGACGCTCGTCGGGGGCGGCAAAGAGGGGGGTGATGACAAGCGGGGGGGTGGATATCATGGCGGGGGCCATGATATATCCCCGGATTTCATGGCGCCTCTTTTCATTTCATTACGTCCCTGGCCCCCCCCCCTGGGCCGCGCACATGCCGCTGGCCATTATTTGCGCCCCCCCCTCTAGGACGCCCCCCTCTTGGCCGCTCCCGAACTCGACAGACTGCTTGCGAAGGGACATCGCATGACGACGACGGCGTTAAACTGTTGCACTCTCTACTCTCAGCCTCCTAGAGGGCTGTCAGATGCGACCTTCCGAGCGCAAGCCTGTAGGTGGGCAAGGGGATGAAGGAGGGGGAAAGTATGAGAGGGGTGAGGGATGACAGGGATGGGTGAACAGGAGGAGGATGAGGGGGAGGAGGACGACGACGGAGAGGGCACGAGGGGGAGCGGAGTAGAAGGAGGAGGAAGATGAAGACTTATTTGCTTATCCCTTTTTTTATTTCGGTCTTTTCAACATTTATATTTTCTTTATGATCTTCTTCTCTTATCTTTTTCTTTCTATTGTGTCTTACGGGTGATTAAAGGAGGAAGAAGTAGGAGGCGGAGGAGGAGGAGGAGGAGGATGGAGGGAGGAGGAGGAGGGGAGGAGGAAGAGGAGGTGCAGGAGGAGGAGGAGGAGGAGGGGGAGGAGGAGGAGGAAGAGGAGGATGAGGAGGAGGAGGAGCAGGAGGAGGAGGACGGGGAGGAGGAGGAGGAGGAGGAGGAGGAGGAGGACCAGTGTAAACCCAAAAACCATCAACGATGGTGGAATAAACCCTCCCGCCAAACTTCCTCTTCATAGGTCCCTACAACGGGTCATTTCCACTGAGGGAACTGCCTCTTTAGAAAACAACCGTTTGAAGACACTGAAGCGTGCGAACTCTTTGTTCTTGGGTTTCATCGCCACGGATCACCTTGAGTGTTGCGCCATGACGATCCAGAATCGTATCAAAACGCCATTTCTGGAACTTCGACACCGCGAGCCAATATAATTCTTGCACCCTCATAATCCTGAATCCTTCCACACCACCATTTCTGGTATTCTGATCATGGGAATCCGTAGAACCCTTACACCTTTGAGTACGGAATGCGTGCGGCGCTAAGGCGACAGCAGTATTTTGAAAAGGAATCGCCCTCAATATGTGAACTTCTTTCACATTTTCAAAACGAATGTGCGCGGCGCGTAGGCGAGAGCTACCTGTTGAAGACCATCCGCCCTCCATCTGTAAAACTGCTGTTATTTTTAAGCTTCAGGGTCATAACTAGTGAGGAAGTCTCAGGCAACACACCCAGCCTGCTCTAAAAACTGGCCTCGGGGTGCGACAGGGGAAACTTATTTATAAGGAAAAGGAACAGAGGAGAAGGAGAACGAGGAGGAGGATGGGGATGATGATGATGATGATGATGACGATGATGCTGCTGCTGCTGCTGCTGATGATGATGATGATGATGATGATGATGATGATGATGATGCGGGTGATTATGATGATGGTGCGGCTGACTATGATTATGATGATGATGACACCGGCGAAGACGATGATGATGCTCACGACGATGATAATCACGATGCGGATCCCGCTGGTGACGTTTATACTACTGATGCTGCTGATGATGATGGTTTGGAGGAGGAGGGTGAGGAGGAGGAGGACGAGGAAGAGGGATAGGACTATGAGGAGGAGGAGGAGGAGGAGGAAAACCACGGTGACGAAAAAGAGGATGATGAGGAGGATGAGGAGATGGAGAATGTGGAGGAGGACGGGTGATGATGACGACGATGATGATGTTGATGAGGGTGATGATGGTGATGCTGCTGATGCTGATTATGATGCTGATGCTGGCGCGGATGATAATGCTGATGATGCTGATGATGCTGATGATGATGATGCTGATGACAACGATGAGGATGTTGATGAGGATAATGATGGTGATGCTACTTGTGCTGATGCTGATGCTGGCGCGGATGAGGATTGTGGTGATGATGATGGTTATGTTGAGGATGCTGATGTTGATGATGATGGGGATGATGATGATAATGATGATGATGCTGCTAATGATGATGGTGGTAAGGATGTCGACGATGATGATGCTGATGATGCTGTTGGTTATGACGATGATGCTGATGATGATGCTGATCATGATTACGATGATGACGACACTCATAATGAATATGAAGTTGAGGATGAGGATGAGGATGAGGACGAGGATGGTGATGATGATGATGATGGTGATGAGGATGAAGATGAGGATGAGGATGGGGATGATGATGAGGATGATGATGCTGATGATGCTGCTGATGATGATGATGATGATGATGATGATGATGATGATGATGATGATGATGTTGGTGATGGTGATGGTGATGGTGATGGTGATGAGGATTCTGAGGATTATGAGGATGAGAGGGGGGAGGATGATGCGGATGATGTGGAGGAGGATGGGAGGAGGAGGACGACGACGACGAGGCCTTTTGGGAGTCTCGTGGGGTCTGTTACTTGCTTTTCGGTGGTTCCCTTGAGGCCTCCAGGGTGGCGCCTGGGATCCTTTTGGAGGCTCTTTGGGGGCCTCTTGGGCCCCCCCGGGGGCTGCGTGGGGGCGTGTTGGGGGTCTTTCGGGCCATCTTGTGGGGGAGGGCTCCCTGAGACCCTTCGTGTTCCTCCTTGTGCCCCTCTTGGGGCCCCCTCCTTGGGGGCCTCTTGGGCCGTCTTGGGGGGCTCTCGGGGTTTCAAGGGGCCCTCTGGGGCCGTCTGTGGGTTCTTTGGGGGCCTCTTGGGCCGTCCTGGGTCGCCCAGGGTCTAGGGGGCTTCTCGGCTCGTCTTTCGGCTTTCATACGCCACAAATCACAAGACAGCTCGCCGCTTGGGCCCCATTGCCAGCCCAAGCGGCGAGCATATGTCGGGCGTAGCCCCGCGCGCGTTGTGACGTCCAGCCAGTCTGGGCCCTTTCGGTGCGGTCGTCGTCGCCTTTGGCGTCGTCGTTGTGGCGGTGGTCGTCGTCTTCGCCGCCTTTGCCGCCGCCGCCGTCGTCGCCGTCGTCGTCGTGGTCTTCGTCGTGATCGTCCCCTTCCTGCACCTCCCTGTCGTCCACCTCGTCTTCATTGTCGCCGTCGTCCTCCTCCTGGCCGTCGTCCTCGGCCTCCTCCTCCTCCTCCTCCTGCCTCCTCCCCCCCGTCGTCCTCGTGCCCCTCCCCGCCCGATCTAGCTGCGCCAGAGGCTGCGCGCCCTCCCGTCGAGAGTGACGCGGCCGCCCATCGGACGCGCCATAAGTTTTGAGCGCTCAGCCACTGGTTGCGCCAGCAGGTTGCGCCCCCGGCCGCCGAGAAACACGCGGCCTCCCATTGGTTGCGCCACAGGTTGCGCCTCGGCCGCCGAGAGTAAACAGTCCCCCTATTGGCTGCGCCAGTTGGTTGCGCCCCCGGCCGCCGAGAAGAACTCGGCCTCCCATCGGTTGCGCCGCAGGTTGCGCCTCGGCCGCCGAGAGTAAAACGTCCTCTCCTCCTATTGGCTGCGCCATAGGTGGCCCCCCCGGCCGCCGAGAAAAAAACACGGCCTCCCATTGGTTGCGCCACAGGTTGCGCCCTCCGCCGCCGAAAATGAGACGTCCTCCGAGCGGTTGCGCCACAGGTTGCTCCCTCGGCCGCCGAGCATAAAACGTCCTCCGAGCAGGTGCGACCAGACAGTCAATTCAGCTCAGTCAGTTCGGTCCGTTCAGTCAGTTCAGTCAGGTACCTCGCCGCCGCCAAATTCGGGGCGCGCCCGAAATATGATATGATCGACCGTGCGAACCCGGGAAGAGATATATAGAAATGTAAGGCACGGCAGCGCTTCAAGAACACCTGGTTGGGCAACGGGCAAAACCAATGCAGAATGTATCGATCTTGCTGCGCCGTGCCGAAGGCTATGCTGCGCTGCGCCGTGCTGAATTGCGATGTGCCATGCCGCGATTGTGTTCCATAGCGTAGTGGATCGAGTTCTCCTTTTGCATCCGAGTCCTGACCGATCTGATCTGGATCTTAAGCTCGAGCTGCTTGGGCGCATAGTAGCTGCCCCAGCGCTAATTGACAGGGGGACATGCTAGGAGGACGCGCCGCGGAACGTCCCAAAGGACGCGCCAGGCGACGTGCCCGGGGACGTGCCATGGGGACGCACCGCGGGACGTGCCAAGGGGACGCGCTACAAAACGTGCCAATGGACGCGCCGCGGGACGTGCGCCACGGGACACGCCACGGAACGTGCCAGGGAACGCGCCAGGACGCAATGTTGAGGGTATCGACCTCGATGTACCGTGCCGAGGGCTGTGCTGTGCCTGGGCGGTGCTGAAGGGCGCTGCGCCATGCTTCCTTGTGTTCCCTGATGTCTCCTGGAGCCTCCTGGGACCTCGTGGGGCGGAGCGTTAGGAACCGATGTGTTTTTGCACTTCTCCCGCCCAGGGGTGTTAGGGACCCATGTGTTTTCGCGCTTGTCCCGCCCTTGGGCGTTAGGAACCAATGTGTTTTCACGCTTCTCCCGCCCCGGGGCGTTAAGGACCCATGTTTGTTCACGTTTATCCCGCCCTGGGGGGCGTTAAGAATTCATTCGTTTTCACGCTTGTCCCGCCCGTGGGCGTTAGCCATCCCGTCGTTTTCACGCTTGTTCCGCCCCAAGGCGTTAGGAACCCATTCTTCTCCCGCCATGGGACGTTGGGGGCCCATGCGTTTTCACGTTTCCCCAGCCCTGGGGCGGACAACCATGTTAGATATCCCCCTGGGTGGCCTGAGCATGTAAAAACACATGGTTTCTGCTCGGGGCAACCATGTTAGATGCCCCCCTTCGTGGCCTGGATACGCTGAATTCGCGCTCCCGCTCGAGACATCCTCGCAATGGCTTCCCTGGGCAGGCTCCCAAAGCGCCACCCCTGTCCTGAGCAAGAAAATATATTATTATTGTTATTGTTATTGCTGCTA